AGGAGTAGTTGCACTTGCTCTACTGAACAACAGAGGAGTAGTTGCACTTGCTCTAAAGAGCACTATAGGAGTTGTTGCACTTGCTCTAATGAACAACATAGAAGTCGTGGCACTTGCTCTAAAGAGCTATACAGGTATAGTTGCACTTTCTCTAAGAAACAATATAGGAGTTGTTGCACTTGATCTCAAAGCAATGTAGGAGTAGTTGCACTTGCTCTAAAGAGCAATATAGTAAGGATTTGATGCACTTGCTCTAAAGAACAATATAGGTGTAGTTGCACTTGCTCTAATGAACAACATAGGAGTAGTGGCACTTGCTCTAAAGAGCAATATCGGAGTAGTGGCAGTTGCTCTAAAGAGCAATATAGGAGTAGTTGCACTTGCTCTATGGAACAATATAGGAATAGTTGCACTTGCTCTAAAGAGCTATATAGGAATAGTTGCACTTTCTCTAAGCAACAACATAGGAGTTGTTGCACTTGCTCTAAAAGCAATATAGGAATAGTTGCACGTGCTCTAAACAATATAGGTGTAGTTGCAGTTGCTCTAATGAACAACATAGGAGTAGTTGCAGTTGCTCAAAAAGCAATATAGGAGTTGTATCACTTGCTTTAAAGAACAATATAGGAGTAGTTGCACTTTCTCTAAAGAAAAATATAGTAGTTGCACTTCCTCTAAGGAACAATATAGGAGAAGTTGCACTTTCTATGAAGAGCAATATAGGTGTAGTTGCAGTTGCTATAATGAGCAATATAGCAGTAGTTGCACTTGCTCTAAAGAACAATATAGGAGTAGTGGCAGTTGCTCTAAAGAGAAATATAGGAGTAGTTGCACTTGCTCTGAAGAACAATATAGGTGTAGTTGCACTTACTCTATGGAACAATATAGGAGTAGTTGGACTTGCTCTAAAGAGCTATATAGGAATAGTTGCACTTTCTCTAAGCAACAATATAGGAGTTTTTGCACTTGCTCTAAAAGCAATATAGGAGTAGTGGCACTTGCTCTAAAGAGCAATATAGGTGCAGTTTCACTTGCTCTAAAGAATAATATAGGAGTAGTTATACTTGCTCTAAAGTGCACATTGTTTCATCATGCTGGGCTGATTTCTATGTACACAATCTATCTATCTATCTGTTTACCTATGTGTGTATGTTTGTGTGTGTATGTGCGTGTTTGTGCATGTATATTAACATTTTTGAAGATTGTAGTTCGCATGGATGCAAGGAATCGGAATGGTGTTCGACCGGCGAGAAAAGAAACATACCGTTGCAGTTAGTTAGTTCGACAGTAAAAAAGTGGGATCTATTTGCAGATCTAGTATCACACTTAAATTCATACAGTCGAGGCACCAAGGAGGAAAGCTTATGGAATTAACACATTAATTCCATCTACATTTTACGCGCGAGCGAGTTTTCCTCCCTTCCTTTCACACTCGTGCGTGTGTGCGTGTGGTTTCCACCCCTTCCTCCCTCTTACAGTTAGACGTAGCAGTAAACTTCCTTTAACTAGTGAGGAAGCTCGCTGGCTCCTACTGATGAAGTCAGCCTAACAGATTTTGAATTTTTTCCCGCGCGTTTTTCGGCGTCTCAAACGAACAGCGTTTGAAAGCCAGTTGCCTCCCGACTTTCGACCTAACTAGACGGGCAACTCATTTATTCCGTGCCCTTAACCCATTTGCGGGCCGGAATATTTTATTTCAACAATGTCGACTTCACACTGTACCAAGACTTCTTCTCGTCTTGAAGCTGCCCGCAGGTCAGACCTTCTCCGTTTTCGACCCGAAAACGTTCGAGACACACGACACAGTAGTGGGCAAAATTTCGTATTCAACAAGTGGCTTATTTTTATCCCTCGTCAGTCAACCTTAAATACAGACAGGGATATCTTACTGACGAACAAACTTGCTACCCGCAGGTCAGACCTTCTCCGTTTTCTGCTAGAAAATGTGCGAGACACACGACACAGTCGTGGGCAAAATTTCGTATTCAACAAGTGACTTATTTTTATCCCTCGTCAGTCAATCTTAAATACAGACAGGGATATCTTACTGACGAACAGATATTCTTCGTCCCTTCTGGACTCGCCATAAGTAACTTCACATAGACGATGCAACCAAATGCAAATAACTCTTCGTCCTTTTGGCTAGACGTCCACAGCAATCCGTTAAAATTTTCAACAGTTAATTCAAGGCCTGACCAAACTCTGAGACGACTGAACTTTCTCTCTACTTTGAACCTGAACATAAAAAAAGATTAAAAAAAACACAAAATCACATACACTCTCAACGTCAAAAATCCACAGTGAGTACTCCTTTCTATCTGTGCGCACCTACACCTCTGTTAACGAGTTCATTTTTCCAGAACCTTATAAAACTCTTTTTCCCGCCTTGTTCATCTTGCTTTCCTATTTTGGCGCGGAACATTTTCCCTGATCTCGTACCACGAGATACCTACTTGTTTTTCCATTTAATCAAAAATTACACATGTTTTGCATCCAGACA